GCTCGTAAGGCTGCAAAACAACTTCAAAAAGCTATTAAAAACTTCTCAAAGGGGTAGGAGAAGGAGCTTCATGGCTCCTGCAAAGGCTACTCAAAAAAAGAAGCCTATCGCGAGGCCTCAAGGTGGTGAGGAGCCTCAGGGAGGTGCTGCAAGCTCACCACCTCCAACCTCGCGTCGCGGCCGCGCGATTAGAACTCCGTCTCGATTTCTATAGCTGTATATATATATTAAAGCCTATTGATCTCACCACCAAAATATATCGTGATAATATCTATTTGGTGTGGCTCTATAGCCTCGTTTTTAAGGTAGTTTTGGTGAGGCCGCGCGCGCACTTTGTGGTGGGGCTAGTTACTGACCCTGCACGTTAGTAGTAGCTGCTTATAAAGAGTACATACTAGATCTAGATTTACTCAGAGACTCGTCTAGCCCTTGGCTAGGTATTCCTTTTTGTGCTGTTATTGTTGTTCCGCAGTTTGGACAGGCGTACATACTGCGAACGCATATTCGTTACCAAAACAAGCTCCTCCGTAGTATGTACCGTGCTGGAGCTACTAGCGCCTCGTAAACAATTCCTTGGTTTTTCTCCACAAACCAAACACTGGCTCCCTGTACCCGTGGGGCTGCTACGTGCTGTTGATTCGTCACCCAGCTTGTCCTTGGATACATGGATTCCACGTCAGTCAAATGTTTATTAAAAAGCCCAGCTTACCTATGTGCCAACAAGTCTGCTCAGGAAATTCTCTCCTTGTGCGTAAACTCTGCTGACCAGTGTCATGAAACGCGGCCATGTCGTGGGAAAACCTCGCTTTTTTTTAAAAAAAAATCTTCTCCCTGGCCTAAGCACTGATGTAGCGTCCCGTTACCTCGTTTGCCCATGTACGTACATGCGTACCAACCTCGGAGTTGGGTGCTATGTATATGACTCCGAAGCGCGCTGTGTGAGTGATTTGCGTAGTCGCGCCGACGAATTCTGCGAGCGAACTTGGTCTGTGTTACATAAAAGATTGCTGTTGTCTGACAGGCGGTCTTGGTGCCAACATGCAGGCACATATGCAACAGCAGTGCATATGAACAAAAAATAGATTGTATGCTCATCATCTCTGTGAGCGGTGCACCGTCAAGCTGCTATATGATGTTGTAGAAGTCGGCGTTGGTCAAAGCGATCCCTCAGGTGTTAGCAGAATCCCTACCAACTATCTAGATGGTTGATCCAAGCAAAATAGGGCTTCGGTTATACCCAGATTTTTACAGCTATATCGGAGGTAAAATGTCTTGGTTGTCGAGGCGGAACATGGAGAACATAAAATATTGGGTCTACATACATATTTTTCATGCTGGGTCTCTTTTGTTATTCTGTTCTCACATAATCCCAAGATGACAAGATCAGCAGCGCATCGAATGGATGTTCTAGGCAGATGATCTTCCAAGGATAGATAGCGTTTGCGAGAAGACGAGTTCCCAACGACCTTGCTCTCTTGCCAAAATAGCTTCTCACTGTCTCTGCGATTGCTTCAACGACATATTGTTGAGCGTGAACAAGCAACTTTTAGCATTCACTGTTGAGGATGAGATGACTGCCGAGTGAGAATCTACCGTACAAGCTCTCACACATAGTAATGTTGTGTATATGTGAAACAACCCCTTGTTAACAAGTGGATATACATCTCGTTCCAGTCCAAATCTTCGTCAGCGCCGGTCGGCCTTTTGACTCACCGCAAAAGGGGGCTTACAAGAGCCCGAAAAGGCTTAGTGTCATCTCATGACTTGGTGGTGAGAGACGTGTTGGGTTTTGCTCATGCATAAGAGTAGGAAGCCATCTCCATACACATCTAGAAAAGCACTGGAGCAAGACTGACCTCGTAGATTCTTGTTCTCTTCAGCCATGCGACTGACTAGCGGCTGTGCAAGGAGCTAGCTACCTGCACTACTCGATAGCTGTGTTGTTGCTTTGTTACCCCTGAATGTTTTTGCATTCGTGGATTCTGACCATGGCCACACAGTCGATATTGAAGACAACACTTTAGGCAAGGTGCATGAGTCTAACAAATTCATCATCACTCTCCTTGGAAATACCCCAATCGTCTGAACTAGCAATCTACTCAAATGCTGATACAGAGACTGAAAAGTAAGCACCACGACAGCACTACCGGTTTAAGCTGCCTCATTTTCTGGCCAGAACACCAAAGTAAACCCAGCCTTGTACACCTCCTGCGATGCAAAGGTACTGTCTGTCGTCCGGAACCCGAAGAGACGACATCAACATGGTCGCGAGACGGGCAACGGACGCAGCCGAGATCTCGGGTCTGACCGATCTGGGCCTAGCGCCACACGCCGATAAGCCTCGGCTTCAGGGTCCAAGCGCGCGACCCCTGGCACGCGCTGGCACTGGGGAGCTTCCACTTCTATCTTATCGACCACGCGCCGGCACACGTGCAGTCATCGCCCACCGCCATGAAACGCCATGTGACTGGCCCCCAAGCAGCAGATCTTCATTCAGCCTCGAAACATGGCCCTGCCGCCGTCTGCGTGACCGCGCCCAGCGTGATGCCTAGCACTGCGCCTTGAGTGGCCGTCTCCCTTGGTCCTTTCATCCAACATAAACCACCTCGCCCCCCCCCCCCCGCGCCATCCCTGATCCCTCTTCACCTACGCCTACTACCGTGTTTGCATTATCCGCTGCATTAACCCACGCTGCCTCGCAGCCACTCGCCTTGCTCAGACGACGTCCTCGGCCTCTCCGTTGGGCCCCATCCATCGCCCATCTCGTCCTCGCTGCATTCCCGGCGGCCACCGCGCAGACTAGAAGAGCCGACCTTCCGCTTTGAGGAGCAGTCTATTCGCAGCCTGCGAATCAGCGGCACAAACGTCAAGGCGTGCAGGTTAGAGCTGCCCGACGGGAGGACCGCTCCCGACAAAAAGCTTGTATATTGCTTCGACCGTCCTTTGCCTGGAATAGAAGGAGACTCCGGCTAGCAGTTGATAGTAGAGGCAATTTCTTGCCCACCATGCTCGACGCCCTGGTAGACGCTGCAAGGGATGGGGTACATAATGCGGCGGCTGTTGCCTCTGCCGGTCTAGCAGCAGCAGAATCTCCAAACATGCCTTCTCTCCGCACTCTCAGCAAGCTGGCCGTTGGAGGCGCGCAAATCATCCTCGGCGGCGGGAAGCGCGTCATGGGTGACTTCACCCAAAGCTGTCCCAATGCCCAGCTGAGCTGCCACAACACGACTGCCGTTGCGAACCTGTGCTGTTTCAACGCGCCGGGCGGCCAGCTCCTGCAGACACAGTTCTGGGATGCTTCGCCGCCCACGGGGCCCGACGATAGCTGGACTATCCACGGACTATGGTGCGTCTGCCCGAATCACAGTTTCCGCCCTGAAACCCGACAAGAATACTAACTGCATATCCAGGCCCGACCGCTGCGACGGCACCTACGACGCAAACTGCGACTCGTCGCGGTCCTACTCCAACATCTCGGCCATCCTCAACTCGTTTGGCGCAACCGAGCTCCTGTCGTACATGTCGACGTACTGGAAAGACTACCAGGGCCACGACGAATCCTTCTGGTACCACGAGTGGGCCAAGCACGGCACGTGCATCTCGACGCTGGACCCAGAGTGCTACACGGACCACAAGCCCACCGAGGAAGTCGTCGACTTCTTCCAGAAAACCGTTGATTTGTTCAAAACACTGCCGAGCTACCAGTGGCTCAGCGACGCGGGCATCGTGCCCAGCACATCCCAAACATACACCTTCGACGCCATCCAGCAGGCCATCAAGGCAAAGCGCCCAGACGTCGATGTAACACTCGGCTGCCGCTCCGGCGCCCTAAACGAAATATGGTACCACTTCGATGTCCGCGGCAGCATCCAGACGGGGGAATTCGTCCCCTCGAATCCAGATGGCACGAAATCTACCTGTCCCAAATCGGGAATCAAGTACCTTCCTAAGCACGGTAACGGCGGTGGTGGTGGTGGATCATCGCCTCCTAGCACCACTACTACTACAACAGCAGGTAGTAGTCCCGCGCCGACATCTGCCCCCGGCACGCCCTTCAGCGGCCGAGGCATCCTGAATGTCGTGCTCAACGGCAAGCAGCAAGGCTGCATCATCAGCAAGGGCACGTGGTACACCACGGGCACGTGCGCGACCTTTACCGCTTCGGCCGCCGGTGCCGGCGACAGCTTTACGCTGTCGAGCTCAAAGGGCAACTGCGGTGTTGTCGGCGGCGCGCTGACGTGCGGAGGCGGCGTCAGTTCCGGTACGGCCTTCACCAATGCCGACGGGGTGCTGGCCGCGGGTGGAAACGCCAAGTGGAGTGCCGATGCCGTGGCCAAGGGAAGCACGCAGCAGACGGTGTATGCCGGCGGCGATCACGCGGCTGCGTTTAGCATTTCCTGGCAGTCTGTGTAGGTGATGAAACCTATGTGACATTTTTTTTATATATACAGAGAGCATTGCCGAATCCCGCCATGTATGGGTTGCATAGATGCGAATGAGAACTTGCATGACATGAATCATATGAAAACGTGCATGTGCAGTGTGAACAAGATTATGAGAAAAAAATATTCTCTTCATTCGCCAATAACCGCTGGTTAAGCAGCAGTCTAATCAATAGGCTATACGCACAAACGACGTTTTTGTTTGGTCGTCCAAGGTGCTCGCTAGATGGCGTTTTACTGGTACGTATACACCATGTCGTGATGCCTTTCATCAATCTTCATACATGATACGAGTTGTTGAACTCGCAAAGCCCGATTCCTCTTTTTTTGTTGAAACACCTATATGCCCCCCAATACCAGGTAAACGCCGTCATACGCCATGTTAGTTTTGACTCGTATATTGCTCAGCCCTTGCTTAGACAGGGAGAGGGAAGGTGACGGCCCAAGCCGCAATCTCCTTCTTGAGGTTGTTGATCTCTTCCACCTCGCCCGAAGCGACCTTGGTCTTGAAGTCCTTGAGCTTGTTGCTCTCCTTGGGAAGCTCGCTCTGGATCTTCTGGCACAGCTTGATGCAAGTGTCAATGTAGTTGGCAATCTTCTTGAAGTCCTCCTCGCCGAGACCACGCGAAGTCATGGCGGGGGCTCCGATACGGATACCCATGGGTGTAAGAGCAGACTTGTCACCGGGCGTCGTGTTCTTGTTGCAAGCGATGTTGACCTGCTCGAGGACGGCCTCAACTCGGGCTCCGTCAAGAGAGAAGGGCTTCAGGTCAAGCAGGACCATGTGGTTGTCGGTACCGTCAGTAACAAGCTTGTAGCCCATGGACTTGAAAGCAACCTCGAGCGCCTTGGCGTTCTTGATGACTTGCTGTTGGTACTGCTTAAAGTCATCTGATTGAGCCTGCTTGAGCGCGACGGCGAGCGCAGTGATGGTGTGGTTGTGGGGACCACCCTGGTGACCGGGGAAGACGGAGAAGTTGATAGGTCCCTCGAGGTCGTACAAGGTCTCCTTGCCGGTCTTGGCGTCGGTCTTGCGGACGCCCTTGCGGAAGAAGATCATGGCACCGCGGGGTCCACGCAGAGACTTGTGAGTAGTAGTGGTGACAATGTCGCAGTATTCAAAGGGCGACTTGTTGACACCGGCAGCGATGAGACCAGAGATGTGAGCCATGTCCATGAGGAGGTAGCTGCCGACCTTGTCGGCAATCTCGCGCATGCGTGCGTAGTCAATCTCACGGCAGTAGGCAGAGGTACCGGCAACAAGGACCTTGGGGCGGTACATGAGAGCGTTTTGCTCGAGCTGGTCGTAGTCGATGAGGCCGGTCTCGAGGTTCACGCGGTAGGGGAACGTCTCAAAGTATGTGGAAACAGCAGAGATCCTGTATGCTGTTAGCTTTTGTTCAGCATGCACATGACTAGTCCCTGTACGCACTTCCTCTGGGGTGTCTGGTAGCCGTGGCTCAAATGTCCACCGTGGGGCAGGTCAAGACCCATGAGCCTGTCGTGCGGCCTCATGATGGCCTGGTAGGCTTGCAGGTTGGCCGGGCTACCGCTCAAGCACTGAACGTTGACACCCCACTTCTCGGGGTCGAGGCGGAAGGTCTCAAGAGCCCGCTTCTGGCAGAGCAGCTCGATTGAGTCAATGTGCTCGTTTCCACCGTAGTATCGGGCACCAGGGTAACCCTCGGAGTACTTGTTGGACATGGGCGAGCCAAGCGCATCGAAGACGGCACGGGAGGTAACATTCTCGGAGGCGATCAGGAGGATGGACTCTCGCTGACGCTGGATTTCTTTCTCCTGTGGCAGTTGTGAGCGGGTTACCGAAGAGCAACCATGTGGACGTGCTTACCATGATCTGGGCGACCTCCTGGTCAGTGTCCACCAGGGACTTCTCCATGAGCTGGTGTATGTCAGCATCGACTGTATTGTGGCTGCAAGGAGGGGCAACATACGTCCTGGTGGGACTTTGGTAGCGCGTAGCTAGACATGATGTGCGAGCGACTGAGTACGGATGGAAAGAGGGAAAAAAGGGAAAAAGGATAGAGAAGGTGAAGGGAGGAGAGGAGGTCGGGGATTAAATTGTGCGCGGAGTTTTAAGCAGTCAGAGCACCCCAAGTCCATCAATATCAACCCCACCAATTTTTCTGGACGCGACAGGATGCCCTAGGCCCGTTTAGGCATGGCGCCATTGAGAAAGCCTGAGGTGCAGCCGGTTGTCGGAGCGATTCGGACAAACTTTGCGGACAGTAAATTGGGAAGCGTGTTGATGTCGCTGCTGTGTAGAGACGAGGTTGATTGCACGATGCGAGCTCTGCCCTTTTTGGGTCGTGAAAGCCACGCTGAGACGGGTCCGCTGGTGCAACCCTTCCCCGCGTTTGCCCCTCCCGCCCAGCGAGAACATCCCGGGTGCACATCACGAAAGACAAATAAACTTTGTGCTAGAGGCAGACTCTGAAGGCCGCATTTCATCGCGCAAAAAGTAACTTCTTAGAAGCGTGTAGCGCCTGCATTGCCCTGTTACAGTTAAATCACGCATCGAGTGGCAATGTGTGCTGATTTGACGTGTCCGGTTCTCATTGTGTCGTTTACTACATACGTACAGTGCTTGCAAGCATCCATCCATTTTGTTTCATTCGTTCCTCCTATTCGTCTAACATTCCTCGGTGAGTCAACACTCAACGTCATGGATCAAATCGATCTGATGCAAAAACCAATCTCAACGCCGCATATGCCACAAAAAATATCGTTCTAAGCAGAAGGCTGCCACGCGCCATCAAAAAAAGGGTATGTAACTGAGCAAAAGAAGAAAAGGCCGAGTCAGCTCGGCATCATATTACATCGTCGCGCCAACAAAGCGATCGTCTTGTCGAAAGTATGTTCTGGAATGTATTGGCAGCATCGCCGGGTGTTTAGTCGTTGTCGGTAAGACGGTCGAGGACGATGATGCTGAGAATCATGACAAGCAACCCAATGGTTACTATGATGAGCAGCACAAAGCCAAACCAACCGAGGACCATGGCCGACGTACCGACACCAGACTTGACACTGCCATTTCCAAGATCTTGTACAATCGTTGCTGCAGCAACCGAGGCCGTATGTTGCCATAGGACGGAGACGAGGACGAAGATGGAGGCGATGAAGATGAGCGCGAGAGCAACCTGTGACACAGGCCGAGATGGGAAGGGCTTGACGTCGACGTCGGATCCAGTTCGCTCGTCCCGCTCCTCGTGCCATCCGGGAAAGGTGGCAAGTAGGATGAAGGTGAAGAAGGCGAGGATGATGGCGACAATCAACAGGTAGGGGAACACGACGGCGTCTTTGAACGTAGCGGCCACCCAAACAAGGTTGAGCGGGTCCTGGTCGACCGACACATTGTCGACGAGCGCAGTGGCGTTGTTGGAGCAAATGAAGCCACCGCCGTCGCGGTTGATGCAGATGCCAAAGTAGCCGACGCGAACACCGAGCTGTGCGTTGCCGACAATGTTTGCAATGGCGGCTGTGACACCCGGGTCGACCTGCTCAGGCGAGTAGGTTGGTGTGTAGTGTTCATACCACATGGAGATGAGAAAGATGCCAGGAATGAGTGGAGATGTGGACGAGCATCCTGCTAGTAGCAATGCTGGGAGGTTGTTAGTGTTGGTCGCGGCATCGAGTGCTTTCGTCTCGACTTACACAGCAATATTATCGCAATTGCGATGAGAATCATGAGCACATGGTGGAAGCCAAGAAACGGTATTAACCCTGGCCATTGTTAGAATGCGTCTTTCTCTTTCGCCAATGGGTCGCGACTTACGTTGCATGCTCACGGCGAACCTCAGATTCGACATGTTGGATGTGTGGTTGCTTCAATTGCCTCTGCCGGGGCGTTTCTTGAGTCTCCCTGCGCCCCCAGAGGGCCGGGCGCTGTGAGCGGTGGAGTGCAGTCAGAGGGTTGCTGGTGGCTACCTCTGCCTCATAAGAGACAGCGAAAGAGCAAGCGGTGAGGGGAGTGCGTCAAGAACAGACTCGGGCGCGGGCCTGTGGTGGGTGGTGCACTTGGCTAGGCGGCTCTTGCAGCGTGTGGCCGGGATATGCACTGCCAGACGATGGTTAGAAGAGCGACGCTGCGAGGAAAGAAAGGATGTGAGAGTGAGCGGAGGCAGGAGTGTGACTTCTCTGGGTATCTGCAGGCCGTGGTAGTTTTGCTGCTGCGTAAATGGTGAGGTTGGGCACGGTGGCTGGGAGGAGGCTGGAGGGCGCATCAACAGCACGGAAACTGTAGCAACCGCCTAGAACTTCAACGTCATACCCCGGCCCCGCGCGGCGCCCAATCAGCGCGCGCGCTATCGTCGATCGGGACGGGCGCTGGTCGCAAGAGGACGTCGTGCCGGCCGTGTTCCTGCATTAGACTGTCCCACCCCATGCCTCTATCCAGCCTTCTGCTTTTCCTGCAGCGACGTGGCGGCCTGCGTACGGCTTGCAGGCCTGCGCACAGCGAGCGCTCCGAGACGATGCCAGCGACCGCTCTTTCGCGCCCCCGACAGCCTAGCAGCACCGACACGCGCCGCGGTGGGGAAGCCTGGCCCGTAGCAGAACAGCCTGCTCAACAGCGCATACCGCCACCTCTTGGACGACGCTCCACGCCGCGCTATACTTATTCTCTGCGCGCTCGGTGCCCTCCTGAGCGCCGCGGGTCGCCTCGCTGTTCCATCCACATCCCTCGACCTGCCACGCCGCCCGTAGCCTGCCCTGCATCGCGCGCTCCTCGTCGACGGTCGGGTGAGCGTTGCTTGGTCCGCCGTTTGTCGCCATGGCCCCGACAATCATGCCAACCACAACTCGGCGTCCGGGAGCTGGCGGCATTCGGGTGCCGTCATCTGCCGGCGATCAGCAGAGACATTTCGCATGCGTGACAGGCAGATGCCGGCCAAAAGCAACGACGGTGACTGGGTAATGTTGTTGACGTGGGGACGGGCAGTGCAGAGTGGAAGAGGCTTGGTTGTGGTTGCGCTCCTTGCGCACGCGGCTGGCATCCGGCTGGACATGCGATGACGTCATCCCAAAACCTGCGCGACGCAGGGTCCGCCATACTCTTCCTCTCTACTGCTACCGCTACCTTTACTGCCACTGCTACTGCCACCTCCGCAGTGGGTCTGCCAAACCCCGACCACGCATATCGCCAAGTATCTCCATGTGCTCGCGTATGAGGCTTGAACAGCCTTTGCTATCCCTTGGCAAGGGTTTGCAGAACTGCGCACGACGTGAAGTAGATAGACGTCCATGGTGCCCCATTACCAAAGGGCCCAGACCTTGCTCCAAACGGCTGCCACATCTTGCTTCCCATCGCCACCCATCTTCCATCACGAGGGCCCTTCTCCTTCACCCATGCCTCGCAATGTCACCAAGCGAACAACCCAAGCAAACGAGCACAACCTATCAGAGCACCTGGCGCAATCATGATTGGATCTCGCGAAGATGCTCGCAAACCGGCCATGACGTGCGCGGCGTACCCAAAACTCTAACACCAACACCACGCACCCAAGCAGGCCTCTCAGCCCAGCAGTTGCTACCACGACTTGCAAAACGGGCAGGCAGAATACATGATGTAGATATAGCGGGAAATGGGAAAGCATATAAACCCTTAACTTTTTTTCTCACCATAACATCTCATCATCATCAACCTATTCCACACTCCAGCCTACATATATAATCAGTCAACCAACCAACCAACCAACCAACCAATTAAATCCCACATCCACCTCTACCAAAAATGACCTCTGCCTTCCGCAAAGACAACCACACCAAACTCGGTGAAGCAATGGTATATCCACCAACCCCCCACTTTACTTACATACCTCCATCTAACCCACCCCACCCCCCACAGCAACCACAATCCACCAAATCAACCAGCACCAAGATCAAAGAATCCATCACCGACACAGCGGACAAAATCGCCCGCGAAGTGCAGCCCGACTCGTCCAAGAACCACTCGCAGGCCACCATGGACAAGGCCGGCCGCTCCTACGACCGCAATGTGCACGGCTCCACGGGCGGCAGTATCCTTGACAAGACCAAGAGCGCGCTGGGCATGGGCGGACATTACAAGGGGGCGCATACGCATGGGAATGGGTTGTAAGGAGTAGTAGGAGTAGGAGTAGTAGCAAGTACGGTGTAGTGTAGTGTAGTGTAGTGTAGTGTAGTGTAGCTTTCAGGGGAAGGGGGTTTCTTGCGAGGAACGTTTTGTGTGTGTGTGTGTTTGTGTAATGGTAATGACATGAGTAATGGGTATCCTATTCTTGTTTTTGTACTGCTTGCTGGCTAATTCATGCAAGTGAGGCATGAAGATTATGATATACATAACCATCGTTTACATAAGAATATCAACTGCCAGGTCGTATACACACATGTCGTCATGTCGAGACAAGGTATCCCGGACCAGATGGATATTTACTAGAAATTTTTTTTTGCACTGCCATTGAGGTATACATCACCCTCAAGTAGGCATGGCCATGATGTTGCTCCATACGCCCCCTGATGCTCCTCCCCCCCCTCGACCCGCACCCCCAGAAGGCCTCCTGGCTGTCGAGCCACTAGCCGAAGCTCTGCCGCCACCATTCTTCGGCGCACGCTTCTTGACGCCTCCAGAGGCCCTGCCAACGTTACCCGATGTCCGCCTGCTGCGCGACGTCCCCTTCTTCTTCTTTGCAGCCTTGGTCGTTGGTGCTGCGCCTCCACCAAGCTGTGTATATCGGTTGTTGAAGTCTGTCACTTCTGGGTTCTGCATAAAGTGATGACTTGTATGCACTTCCTCATCGTCATCGTCATCATCGTCGAAACCACCGTACGAAGATTCATCCCCAGAATCCTCGCCATTGCCAGCTGGCACCTCTGCCGCCTCCTCCTCCGAGTCACCACACAGATCATAAACAAGCTTATGGTTCTGATCCTCCACTTCCTCGTCATCGTCAATCTCATACACAACGGGCACCACTTGGGCTTGCCGGTTGCGAAGCTGCGGATTCCGAGGAATTGGCACCTCGTCTCCATAAAATTCCCTCGTGTTGTTGATCAACGGTAGGAACTGTTTACCGTAACGATCCACCATCTCGGCTCGGATCCCTGGTATCGTCTTCATCTCATCGAGATTCCGTGGCAAGTCAAGGCCCATCTCACGAAGTACAGTGTCGGTAAAGATGGCTTCGCGGTGGCCCTTTCTCTCTTGTATACTCTTTCTCATCTGCTTGGCCCCAGTCATGAAATCCCGCAATACATCGCTTTGTAGCTCCGTGAGTTGTGCGGTGCGCTCATCTGTAGTGATGGGAACCCCAAGGCCCTTCGCTTTTGTTGCTTTCAACGGTTTGGCCTCGCGAACCGGTGCGAACCCCTCGTTTTCGTCTCCATCGCCGACTACAAAGCCGTCGGCTTGGTAACCATGGCCTCTCCTCTTACGGCTTGGGTGGCGAGGAGCATCAAAGGCATCCTCTTCCTCGTCCTCGTCCTCATCCTCATCGCGCCCATTATAAGCGAATGATCGAATCTTTTGCTTGGGTGCCCGTACAGGAGAGGGAACATTGGTCGATGGGAACTGCGATTGTTGTTTCTTTGTCTTCTTGGCTGCGGGCGCCTTTGTGCGTGCTGTGAGTGGCGAGGCGCGCACTTGCAGCTTCATCTGCTTCCGTTTGGTCTCGTAGTCGTTGCGTATCGAAGCAGGCTAAGACTGTTAGTAGACAAAACGCACCAACACAGAATGGTACATACATGTAGGTAACTTGTTGCAAAGCCAACCTTGTTCACCTTGCTCTTTTCCTTGAATGCACCGGCATCCAGCAGATGCTGGAAGATGCGCTCGTTGTCGCCTCTGTCCAAGTCCTTGCCATAACCCCATCCATATTCTACTAACCCGGCACTCTTGAACCTGGCGCCGCTGGCACCTCGAAAAGCATCTACGCACTGGTGCATTGTGACATTGTCCTCGTGGATCCGACTGACAAGCTTGATGGCCATGGCTGCGTACTCTGTGACGTCCTTTGTAACGAATGTGGCATCAGACCGGCAATTGTCGCATGTCGAATTGCACTTTGAGGCATCGAAAGCTTCACTAAAGTATCCGAGTACTTGAGCGCGTCGACAATCGGCTTTGTTTTCGCAGTATTGAACCACAGTTCGTAGCATGTCGCTGAGCCTTTGCTTCTGTTCTCTACTGCCCTCGCCTTCGTCAATCATCTTGCGCAAGATTCTCGAGTCAGCGTATTGGTAGTACAGATAACATTCTGAGCGTTTGCCATCACGACCAGCGCGTCCAGTCTCCTGATAGTAACCTTCCAGACTCTTCGGTAGTGAGTGGTGAATGACATATCGTACGTCGGCCTTGTCAATACCCATACCAAAGGCAATTGTTGCGACGATAACGTGATGCTCGTTTTTCTGCCATTTGCGCTGAACATCAGAACGATCAGCAGAGTCCATTCCGGCATGGTAGTGGTGGGCACGGATGCCCATCTCGCACAACTTTTTCGCCACTTGTTCGCAGCCCTTTCGTGATAGGCAGTAAATGATACCGGATTTTCCGACGTATCTCTCCTTGATCAGGTCCGCGATGCTATTGATAACACCTTTGGCTTTGGGTAACACTTCATAGGACAAATTCGGGCGGTTGAAGCTCTGAGAGAACTGACGGCAACCTTGCATACCAAGATTGGCTACCACGTCAGTACGGACGAGTTGGGTCGCAGTCGCAGTTAACGCAAGCACGGGGACCCCAGGAAACTGACGAATGACATCTCCAAGTGCTTTGTAGTCGGGTCGAAAATCATGACCCCATTGACTGACACAGTGCGCTTCGTCGATGACGATCCTGGCAAGGTTGCCCCCAGAATGCAGTTTCTCGAAGGCACTGATCATTTTCTGGTTTTTACTAAGCATCTCCGGCGTCACATAGAGTATCTGGATGAACTGCTGCGGATCCCTTTGGCGCAGGCCGTCCATGATCATCTTCTTCTGGGCTGCAGTTGACTCTCCGTTGATGAGAAAAGCCTGCATGCCGAAACGTTGTTTGCACGCTTCAACCTGATCTTCCATCAAACTCAGCAGTGGAGAAACTACCAGGGTGACTCCGTGTGTTTTGCCTGAAGTGATTACCGAAGGCAGCTGGTAGCAGAGCGATTTGCCGCCTCCTGTGGGCATCAGTACAAAGCAGTGCTCGCCAGATAGCGTAGTGTTGATAGCCTCCAGTTGTCCGGGTCGAAAGCCTCTTAGGCCAAACCGACGAATAAGTGCCGTTCGCAAATCTTGAGACCATGGGAAGTTCATTCCTGGGTGGTTCTTGGCCGGCATATTCAGCTGCGGTTTCTCGGGTGACGATGGGTTTTGTTTCGGTGGGACTTTATTTGGCGAGGCCTCACGGAATACCTCGCGGGAGTTTGTTGATGGATTAGGAACTGCCCGTTCCCCTCTCCAGTCGAAACCACCTGGAGCTTGATTCTCGATATTATTAATTTCATGCAGAAATTCTTCGTCGTCTGCACCAAACTCCTCGCCAAATTCATCGTCATCGTCGAGCTCGATGGGTTGATGGTGGGTGCCTGTGTCGTTGGCGAACAAGTTCTCATCTTCATCAAGATCCAGCTCTCCAAAATCATCTGGTGTGTCTTGACGTGCTACTGGCTTTGGCTTGTTTGTAGGGCGCCGACGCTCTGGTGTCTCGGGTATTCGGTGCGATTGATCTTTAGACATTGTATTATGTCTTCCCATCACACCAGTATCGGTGCGAGAAAGAACACCTAGGTTTGGGGGAGGCAAGGGAGATGCAGCGACCTGTTCTTCAGCGAATCGTATACGGCGATGCGGGGTCCACACTTCTTCAACAGCAGCGTCAGTGTGCTTGGGGTACTGTGTTTGAGGGATACGATTCGGGCCTGCATCTTTTAAACCATTGGAAACAGATCGGACCGGGCTTGCCTGGGTTGATTGTATGACCACATTGCGACTGGTCCTCGGCTCTGGCTTCAAGACAGGGTTGGGTTGCTGCTTGATGGCTGCCAAATCCAATAGGTAATGCATTTGTATCTGGATGTCCTCGATCGTCTTGAAAAGTTTGCTCAGCGTTTCACCGTCTGCTGCATCAAATTGCCCAATGTTCAAGTCGTCCTCGAGTTTTTGCTTCACCTTTTGCCTCTGAGCCACCAGATCGTCATGGCGGATCTTCAGGGCTATCAACTGCTCCACAGCATCCTTCCGTGAGCGAGCGCGTTCCATTCTTTCCTTTTCGCTGGGGTCGGGTCTCCCATACTCGGAGAGATGCGCTACGAAAGCAGCACGGGCACTGTCCCATGCTGAGCTGGCTGCATTGAGGTGGCTCTGTAGTCTTTGTCCCTCTGTCGCTAAAAATACATCAATAGCCCCCTTGATAGCAGTCTTTTCTTCTTTTGATAACTCTGAAGAGCTCGGTGTAGGCTTGCTGGATGTGGATATCTGTGCAGGTGTGGATTGAACATTCTTCTTAGGGGACTGTGACTTCTCGGGAGTAGGAATAGAGTCTTGTTCAGGCTGGTATGGGCTCGGGCTTGGCCTAACCTTTACTGGTGAACGTATGGGGAGTAGTGTCTGGCTTGCTGGCTTGGTCAAGTTCGACACAGGCGTCTTCTCGCGTGGCCTCGTTTTTGCCGGTGTAGGTGATTTGGTCCGGGATTGCGCATCGATGTCCATCTCATCGATTGTGCCAAATTCTTCATCTTCCGAGTCCAGCACTGCATGACCAACTCTCCTAGTAGTGGCTATGTGTGCGCGACCCGATTTGGGTGTTGCGACTTTGGCTGCGCAAGGCCTACTCTTGCCCGGACTAGGGCTGCGGGTCTGTCTCCCCATCTTGCGAGCTGGTGCGTTTTCTGAGGCCACACGGCTCAGTGGTTTGCGCTTGCGTTGTTGTGTAGATATTGCCTGCTCTAACTCTATCATCTGCCTCTCCTCCTCTTCTAGTTGTAGCATTGCTTCCATGTCGTCGTCCTCGGCTGCCGCAGTCTGCCTTGGTGGATGCCTTGTACTCCCTGCAACTGTCGAATATGGCGGGGGCGGGCTATCCGGAGCCATGATCATATCATCAATATCGGGAAAGTCGTCGTCGTCAGGTTCTGGACTGAGCGCAGGAGCAGCTCGTACTGGCCTGGGGGACTTGGCATGTCGAAGGTCTGCTTCGAACTCTTCGCTCTTTCGCTTCCGGCCTTTGGGAGTGCGCGTCGGAACGGGCGAAGAGCGTATGTCATCGTCTCCCGTAAGATCGATTGAGTCGACATCAATCGGCCCTATGTGGTTCATTCGAGCGGTTCCGTACTGCGGAGTGGGCACTTCCATATGCCCGTTGATTTTCCGCACTGTTGTCGATCGATCTTCTGCTGCTCCTGAACCAATTCTGCCAAACTCTACTGTACGATTCACCTCTCTTGTCCTGCGCTCTGTTGTTGAAGACGATGCATGTTGTGGTAGTCCCGCTATTACGAGTCTAGGCTTCCCACTTGCTGGCGTGCCTCTCAATCTTGCCATATCCGAGGCCGTTCCCTCCTCTTCTGGGGGATTGTGTATATCAATCGTTTTCGGTCGGGCGAGGCTGCGGGGTAGGACAGATCCAGCGACTTGTGGTGCTGGTGCGGGCGCTGACACGGATGCAGGTTCAGGTTCATTGTATGTCGCTTGCTCTTCCAAAGCGGAGGAGTGTTGCTGCGAAAGTGTTGCTGAACTCGTGGGGTTTGCGTTCGGGTCGTATGCCACGGTTGATGACGCGGGTGGGATGAAGGGCTTCTCAGCGAGCAACCACTTGAGATGTTTACTGAGATTGTTCCGAGGCATGAGAGCGTCGCATCGTTAGTATGGGGATCCGCATCGATGTTCTACACGTGCATCTGCAGCAACTTCGCAGTTTCACGGGCGTAGTGGTGGCGACATCACTGTTGGCACTCTTGACCGTGTTGTGCTAAGTCCGGAACGCGCCGCGCTAGCACCAAGTCACGTGCAGATGCCTAACGCTTCGGAGTCGAACTCGCCGGTCCTCACGAATGCGGAAATGGCGCCAGGAAGCAACTCAGTCGACCATGGGCGGCGGTGGCGTTACCATAGCACTATTCCATAATAGGACTAGCGCTTACCTAAAGCAATTTCTTATAGTAATAAAACTTCTATATAGTAAAATAGTAGTAGTTATAGGTTATGAAAATATAAAAATTACTTTTTACGTATAACGTGTTTCACCAGTAAGCGGGCCACCCCAGTATGTGGGCCACTTCCCTATGATATCCCACCTTTACAACAACAACGCGTAATGTCTTAACAACACAACGCGTTAAAAACTTATACTAAAGCAGATCTATTTCTTGCTATTACTAATCTTAATTCTAAACAAATTTAGAGTGAACGACGCGCTGCTGCCGCCTATAGCGTCCCACGAACAACAATCTAGCGTCGACGAGCTAGACAGCGCCCTCGAAGCGATTGGGAGCCACTAGCAAGGCGCCTAACAAAACTAGAAGAGGAGGCTATTACTATGCGTGTAATAGTCAAGGCTGAGCGAGGACTACCCTGTGGGAAAGACGACGTGCGAGATATGGCCAACAGACTGCTCCGAGAGCGTGGCGGGAAGGAGGTGGGCAAGAACTGGGTTGATAGGTTTGTCTAGCGCAATCCTGAGCTGCGTACGCGCCGGAGCCGTCCATACAATCACCAGCAAGCTCTCTACGAAGACCTAGCGCTTATTAAGGGCTAGTTTAAGCTAGTTCAGAATATAAAGGCAAAGTATGGTATCGTAGACGAAGATATCTATAACTTTAATGAGACTGGCTTTATTATAGGCAAGATTTTATCACAGTTAGTTATCACAGGCTCAGACAAACTAGGGAGAACAAAGAAGATCCAGCTAGGCAATCGTGAGTGGGTTACGCTAATACAAGGCGTTGGCGCAATAGGCACGCGTATCCTAGCGTTTCTTATCTTCGCTAGCAAGGTTCTAATCTCTACCTAGTTTACAGAGGATCTGCCACGCGACTGGGTGATCCAAGTTAGTCCTACTAGCTGGACGAACAACGATCTAGCGCTTGACTGGCTTCGTCACTTTGATTCCCATGCGCGGCCTGTGGGGACGCATAGGCTGCTTATTATTGACGGCCATGAGAGCCACTGCTTGGTGGATTTCCGAGATCTCTGCGAAGAGATGAAGATAATCCTCCTCTGTATGCCTCCCCACTCGTCGCACCTCTTACAGCCTCTTGATGTGGGCTGCTTCTCGCCGTTAAAGCGCGCGTATGGTGATGCTATCTTGGTCTTAGCACGCAATCGCATCTACTATATTAGCAAAGAAACCTTCCTACTAGCGTTTAAAAAGGCCTATTATAAGGCTATTACACTAGAAAATATCCGCGGAGGGTTCTAAGGTGCTAGACTTTCACCGCACGATTATAACGTTGTTTTATCACAGCTTAACGTCATACTGCGTACGCCAACTCCACTAGCGCAAGAGACTACTGCTTAGGAGCCGAAAACGCCGCGCAACGCGCGCGAAATGGAGGCGCAGGCTACGCTTATTCGAAACCGTATGCAAATCCAGCAAAGGTCTTCTACAAGTTCTCTTAAGAAGTAGATATAGTAGTTAAGTAAGGAAGCTTAGTAGATAGCTTATAATATAGTGTTAATGCAGAAGAAACTTAATCGCCTTAAAGCTATAATTACTAAAGTAACGAAGCGAAAAACTCGTAAGAGGCGCTACGTACAGGCAGAGGGGTCCTAGACAGTTAGCTAGATAGCTAATTAGATCGCTAAGGCAGAGGGTGGTAGCTATAATAATGGTGCAACGTCTGCGAAGAGGGTGCGTAGTGAACGGCGCTGCGGGCGTTGCAGCCAAATTGGACACAACTCTTGCACTTGTTAAGTAGAATTAGAGAATATAGAGGATAGCAATGCGTCTAAAGAATAATATCTTATTCTACTTAATAAAAAATATTGTAGTAGTGTTGCGTAATACTATTATAAAGATGTAAAAGTTTGGGGAGGTGGCCTACATACTAGGGTGGCCCGCTTACTAGTGAAACACGTTATATAATATATTATATAAACTTCTTTATAATATATTATAAATAACGTATTCCATCACTGAGCGGGCCACATCACCGAGTGTGCCACTTTTTCTTAGCATCACGAACTTCATGTACGAAAACTTAGATTACTCTACACTAGCTATAGATGCTTCGTACGACTTACTTGTATCTAAAAGAGAATCTTCTTCTACATCTTTCTAGCACGTACGAGAGTTATAGCCTGTCCTCCCACAGGTTCTACAGTGCCGTTAACCTAGTAGGGCCCTTTCTTGACTACCCTCACCACGTGCCTTCTTTGATGTCGTACGACCAGCAGAACTACTTTCAGCTACCTGCGATGCCCCTGCACCAAAGTCTAGTGTCCCACCTGTCTGAATTCGCTTTCTTTTGCGCCCTTGGCGCTTTGTTACTGCTGCTAATTGCTCTTCAAGCTCTCTTACGCGGGCCTTTATAAGCACATTCTTATATAGCATCTCCTCAGCCCCTTTAATAAGCTTTAAAAAGCCTTCTTGTGCAGTAGTTAGCGATCGTACGAAAGACTCTCTTACAAGCTTTGATTGTGACCTAAATTCATGCGAATTACTTAGTGTTCTTGACGTCTAGGGTATTTCTAGCTAAGCTTCTTATAGTAGAGTATGAAGGCGTACGTTAAGGCAATTAATAACTCTCTGCGCGTCAATAGGGACTAGCCCTGCTGCCTTAAAGGCCTTCTTGCAGTTATTAGACGTAAACACGTTAAAAAACGCGTCTTAAAAGGCTAGAAGGAAGCGCTTCTTATTAATATGCTAGACATAGTAGCGTGCCAAGTCTCGTACGCGTTAAGAGTACTTCTGCTTAAGAGGCAAAAAGCAAACAACGTCAAGTGGCTAAAGTATGTGCGATGAATGAGCAGGTATACAGAGGGTAAGGATCTTTCGTACGAGGCAGTAATCCTTAAATTCTTAGTTAAGGTGGCTCTTATGGCCGTTAAGGATAAGTAGCCTGTATAACCCTACCTGACGCGTCTTTGTATGCTCGTTAAAGTGCTTTAACCACGCGAGACTAAGCTCATTGTTCGTCTAGCCGTTCTCTGATACTGAAAGCTTCTAGTCGTACGGTATATCCGCTTCTTTGTACTATGCAGAGATGTAGACGCGTCCCTTGTAGATAATGAATAGCGGGGTAGCGTATCCCGCAGCGCAGATGCTCTGGATGACTGTAACCCACTCGCGATTGCCTGGCTGCGTGAGAGTAGGCCTCGTACGACGCTCTGCGCCTGTGACTACCTTCATTGAGCCAATTACGCCCATCTAAAAGCCAGTTTCATTAAAGTTATAGATGTCGTCTAAATGAACTCCATACTTCTCAACCATCTCTCGTACGAGCTTGAACCACGCGTTAATAATCTCTAGATCCTCTTGTTAAGTTCTCTAACGATCCTTTGCTCAACTAAAGGCTGTTCTAAGCTCGTCTATACAAGTAACGAACCGCTCTGCCCAGCATTTGCCTAAAGGCTCGCCATCTCGTTCGCGTAGTAGTTTCTCCGCCATATCTGCTACTTCACATAGACGGGGGGCAAATCCTCGCGAGTCTAGGTTAAGAATATATCATACGATAGTTTGCTCTTCAGACTTAGTTAGCTTCTAGCAATTTGGCTGTGTTGTAGGTCAAAAGGTGATTCCTTGAAGCCGCTGAGAGATCTGCTAATGATGGACGTTGTAGGCTGCTGCAGCGCGTCGAATGCTCTTAAACTAGCCTGTACGATAGGCCTGAACAGCTAGAGTAAGCCTACCTTCTTGCTGAGTTAATATCGCGTTCTGTTGTTGGGGCATTATCTTTCGTACGTGAAGTTCGTGATGCCAAGAAAAAGTGGCACACTCGGTGATGTGGCCCGCTTGGTGATGGAATACGTTATAAGGAATGCTATTATAATGCTTAACTATAGGTATTATATATATTTAGTTATGTGTAATAAGCTCGTATAATGTGACGGGCTGGTGCCCCTTTAGGTCTTACTCCTCGATGGGATCTCGTGTGGTCACAGGAGTCCAAGTACCTCGGATAGCACTTGGCTCCTGCGTGCGCCGCTCTAACGATGTTTGACACGGACGCTATCGGCCCGACAGTTGCTCAGGCAACTAGCATGGTATATAGACAACTCCATAGCCTAGGAGCTTAGCTCCTCATCGAATTCAATTCCCTTGTATACTAAAGCGATTGCTCCACGGAGCGCAGCCCCTTACATTTTAAATTTGATCCCACTAAGCAATAGCGCAAGCTGCTGCTTTCTGAATTCTATTTAGAACGTACCTTTTTAGGCGCGTTGGTGGTGTTGTTGGGCACAAAAGGCCAGGAGACAACTTGACGCGCAATTGTGAGAGAGCTGCCGAAGAGACGACAAGCTTCGCAGGAAGCTAGTTAGAGAGAAGTCCTATTTGGCATCCCACAGAGGGATCGTAGGCACTGCTACTACAATCCTCTAAGCAGGAAAGGCGCAGCAAGTAGTAGGAAGTCCTACAGTGTCTTGGAAAGCCGAGCTGTAGGCACAGTAGTCGCGCGATAAACTATCTAAAGGACATCGACAACCTCAGCCACAACTTCGAGTTTTCTGGAAACCGCTAGAAAAGCACGCTATCTAGGAGAACCGACCACGAGGAATCGACTAACAGCACTTTCAACACCTGCAGCTAAGGCGCTAGCGCGCAGTAGGGAGAAGAAGGAGGCCTTCCTTCGTTTTCTCACGCCTGTGAGAATTTTCTCACAGAGCTTAGGCTCTAATGCCAAGACCAAAGGGGCTAATAGGAACGCAGGAGCTTATTAAAGCTTAAATTTAGCAAGAAACACAGACACATCAAAACAATAAAAATAATAAAAAAAGACTAGCCTTAAAGGACCTTAGAGGCAAAAGCAAACGACTAATGGATAATAATCCAGAAATTGAGATGGCTGAGGAGGCCTCTACGCCTTGCCCTAACAGGCAACCAGAAGAACCGCCTAGGCCTACCCATACTAGGACAAGAAGCAATTTTTCTCCATTTATTGGAGCAGTGCCAAGATACCCTACAGTAGGGAAAACACCAAAGGCAACCTCTATTAAGGAAGCCTTAGAGATTGCTAGAAACCTAGTAATCCAAGTAGCTAACCTAGCTAAAAACAACCCTACTAGGCAAACTAGTTTACTAGACCTTATAGAAGTCTTTAGAGACTTTACAGAGAACGGCAGAGTAAATAAGAAAAACTCTATAATTCTAGAAGACCAAATCTCCTCTCTATCTAACGTCTCTAAAGAACTAAGAGAGAAAGTTAGACGCCTTGAAAAACCAAATACCCCGCCCACCCAACCTCAAGCTCAGCCCCCTAGCTCCTACGCAACAGTAGCAGCTAGTAATTAAGAACAACCTTAGATACATATCCAAAAAAACAAAACTAAAAACACCCAAAAAAAACACCCAAAAAGACAACTAAAAAAA